CTGATGATGCAAAGTATTAGACCGGTGGTGAAACTGATATTGGAGGAACATAGGCCTACATTTCAAAGCAACATCTGGCTAACTTCTGAAGCTTCCATCAATTAATGCTGTATTTACTTCAGTGAAACATTAAAACGGTTTCCAGTTTGTGCTCATTAAACCTAAAACTAGCTGTTAAGACTAAAGCCTTGTCTTTCACACTATTTGTGTCCACACATTTTAACTTTGTTTACCTTCAGAAACGTCACTAAGTTGATCTAAAAAAGTGAAGTCAGGTCCTCTGGACGGATTCAAAATATAAAAATAAAACAAAATTGCTCAAACGTTTCGTCTTTAATCCAGAAGACCTTCAGTTTTAGGAGCTGTACTAAGCTCCAATAGCACCTTTTTGTACTGGACCAACCAGATTGTTGTTGACATCCAGAACCAGCTGCTCACATGGTCAAGAAGGACCATCAGCCTAACGATGGATCATTAGCGCCTGATGGCTGTTTACTATTCACAGGGGGTTGAGTGATACTAGCAATCACAGCATTGTAAGAGGGGGACAGTTGAACCCGGAGGCTCCACCCCTGTTTAATGATGGACGGTTTCTTTTCACAAAGATGGCCTCCTCCACCCAGCACTAGACTCACCTCACCACTGGATGAAGAGCATCTCAGCGTGGCCTCAGCAGAAGTAAGGAGTACCTTCAGGAGGATTAATCCGCACAAAGCAACTGGCCCAGACAACATCCACGGAAAAGTGTTGAAGGAATGTGCTGATCAGCTCTGTGAGGTGCTGGCAGACATCTTTAACACCTCACTTACCCTGGAGACAGTTCCCACCTGCCTGAAGACTGCCACCATCATCCCAGTCCCAAAAAGCTCTACAGTGACTGGTCTGAATGACTATCGGCCAGTGGCCCTCACCCCGATAGTCGGTAAATACTTTGAAGAACTGGTCATGACTCACATCAAAACAAACATCAACGAGGACCCTCATCAGTATGCATACCGTGAGAACCGATCAACAGAGGATGCCATCTCCTCTGTGGTCCACACTGCGCTCAACCACCTGGAGCAGAAAAACTCTTACGTCCGTATGCTCTTTGTGGACTTCACATCCGCCTTCAACACCATGATCCCCCAAACCCTGATGGACAAACTATCCACACTAGGACT